AGAGAATCAACGCCATTTCCCTAAATTCTGGTGGCACTCTCCTTGCCTCCACATCTGAAGATCACCGTGTCCGCCTTTGGCAGCTATCAGATCGGCGAACCATTGTCTCATTCAAGCACTCTCACCCAGTGTCCTGCGTTACATTCTCTGATGACAGGCACATCCTCAGCGGAAGTGAAAAGATGATCTCAGAGTGGCCACTATCCGAAAACGCGATTCCAAAGGATGGCCCAAAGGAGGTTCTCGTGGAGCAGGCGATGCACCAGGTAATTTTGTATCATTTTTGCGCCCTTTTGTCGTCTAAGCATCTTTCTTATGCCAAGGCTCAAGCCTACCCTGATTTTAAGGCATGACGTTCCTACCTTTGACTCATAATAGAATGTGACCATGCTTCACGCAGGTCTTTGCTATGAACCCAACAGCTCGCGATGCATGCATAGCTTGGGACTTGCCTACCGCTGAAACGGTGTTAAATCGAGAAATTGATGCTGATGCCAACAATCATATATCCTATGCCAATCGCTCATTCATTATGGCGCGAAAATCCGACTGGGACCGCGCGCTTCTTGATTCAATCAAGGTGATATAGACTAACTTATATTTCTCCTTTATGAAAGCTAACTTTGGTGCATAGTCTGTCAGCATTCAACCTTCGTTTGCAGGCCACGTCTCCAAGGGCATTGCCCTCTGTGGGAAGGGGCAGGTCCGGGCCGCGAATACAGCATTTGACCTTGCGTCCGTATTCACCAACGGAGATTTAAAGACCAGTCATTTTCTTTTCTTGATCAAGGCAAGTAATCTTTCTTCTTACGTATCGCGTGCTTCAATGCGATTTTAGACCATCTCACTGTTCAACGCAAATGAACCTGAGGAGGCAATGCTGCGCCTCGGAGAGCTAGCTGTGTCTCCCGATGTCGATCCTGTTGCATGCCGTATTGTAGAAGTGAGTATCGCGCACTGGATGAAGCCCAATTTCATGAGCCGACACTGATTTTTCTGATTCTTGCACATTAGACCTACCTACGCGTCCAACTCGGAATGGTTGCCTTGCACAACGCGCACCACAGTGAAGCTATTGACCACTTCAATGCCGCCGTCAACGCAAGCGCTTCCTTTCATCAATTGGCAATTCATTCTACGCACGAGGAATTCACCGTGGTGCGTTGATGTCACGCAATCGAATGGACTTTTCATACTCATCTGCTTGTTTTCCAGCTTTTCGGTTGGAACCTCAAGTCCTTGTGGCAAACCGCGAACCAGCAACAGTGCAAGGCACTTATTCGGGCAGGTAGAATTGGAGCAGCCGTCGAATCGTATCAATCCATGATGGACAAGAGTGATGAAACTATGAAGGCCAGTTTACGTGCTTGGTTCAGTGGTGAGTCTTCAATAATGTTACCCCATCTATAATCCTTAACAGCACTTCACTCAGATCTCAAGTAAGACCAAGCGCGCTCTATACTTCCAATGGCTAAAATGTGAAACACGGTTCATCGAGCAGTTCTCATTCGTACCTTTACAGTATCTGTATTACATTCGTGCTTGTATCATACACGGGCTTACTCGAACAGGACATCTACAATGCGTACGCCCATCATTTCGGTGTGCCCTTCACCAAATCACTGTCGGTTCTTTCAAGTTCAATTCTGAAGCACTTTCAATTGAGAGTCCTTGCTTATCCCCTGCACATATGTTCCTTTCATCCGTCCCAATCGAATTGGACTGCCACTCCAAACTGAACCACTCACTGGATTACAGAGTCTAGACGTGGATTCACCATCGCCGACCATTGATTATCTGAAACGCGTAGTTCTAGATATCTGTCCCATCAAACACGATAGTCAAAGATACGACGTTAGCATCATGCACTACGCTTATTGATTGGACTTTGGGCGAAGCTATGGGTCGAATAAACGTGTGAGGGTGACTTGCTATTCAGGCCCAGGTTTTGTATTTACCCGTAGGAGTTGCCCGGGTCCAATTACTGTATTATGTAATCCAATTCACTAAAAAGTTGATGTCGTGGTCCTGGACAGTGGACAAGGTGCGCCCTTCAGATCACTTGAAGTTTGCAACGCCTCCTACCATCACGTTCACCGCAGGGTCGATCTATTCAGCCAGTCGACAGAGCTAAACGCTGTACCGGGATGAGAATATACAAATACAGTTTTCAAGCGTGTTCAAGTTCTGTGCTATATCAGCGTCCAACAGTCTTCCTCAAGAGCGTCAAAGCCTTGTTCCCTGCACTACTGCTCTGCTCGTCCCTCAGCTTGGTCCTAAGCCTCACTAAAGCCTTGCCTAACTGGTTTTGGCCTTTCCGGTCCACTCCGATACCCCAAAATGAGTCCTTATCAGAATCCTGTGGAATATAAGTAAACTTCGTCATGGCCCTCATGATCTAGATCTACTAACCTCGACAAGTTCTGCATCTCCAGTAGAGAGTAGTTCTTCCTTCAAATGTCTGTTCTGCGAGAATTTATGCCAGAGAACAAGGTCCATCTGATTATTTGTGTCATCAGCTGAACGCAACTGCAGTCGATACTGATCCTCACCATCTCAATTCTCACTTGCAGCCAATCAGATCGCACTTCAGGACTGAACCTGTGGGCTTCGTCAAATACCACACGCGGACGCGTGGAACACGTTCTGATGTGCTCTGCGAGCTCGGGACGGCGTTCCATGAACTGTGACAGTAGTGAGTGACATATCAGATGATGACACTGTTCGTAAAACGGCTTACCTTCAGCGACTGGAAGAGGTGTTCGCTCGTGGGGTATTTCTTTCCATTGTACTCAATGGGGTCGGATGAGAAATTAGTGAACCCATAGTGTGGATCGTGGGCATGATAGAAAAGTATTTTATTTGGCTTCCCATCTGAGAGTGTCTTACTGGAATACGGAGTTGGGCGGGTGGTGAGTGGGGATGACTGAGGAGATGTTGATGGACGCTGCGCCGACGATACACGAGGGGCATGCGATCCACGTGGTGTTTGGGGCGGCAGTGCATGGCTTGTATGGGCAATGCTGACTTTGCCGCCATCCGACAGGTATCCACGATCCTCCTCGAGTCCTTTCTTGATCCAGTCAAGTTTGCGGGGACTCTGTGGTTCGGTTGAGCCGACCCGAAATGATTGGGCAAGGTCCATGTGGTGCGTCAGGAGTATTGTTTGGCTACTCTTGTCTTTGCTGGACGTCGATGCCTTCTGGGGCTTTCGAGGTAATTGCAGTGTCGTCACTTGGTTCGATTGGTTCGTGGTGGGCTTCATGCTCGTCGCTATGTTACATTTTTTTCGGTCTCTGTACGAAGAAGCTTATGTATGGGGCGCGACCCTCTTATTCCCATGCACCATGTGCCGCCGACACGTTGCTGCTTCGAGGAAAGCTGGGTCCATGATGCAGTGACGGTTTGTGCTGAAAGCAGCGCCGTAGTGGCGCTGCTTCACGCGCACGTAGGGTGTGCATTACACGTGGGCCATATGCGCAGCCAGTTATCTTGTTTGGTGGGTGATCCTGAGGTCGCCATATTTCCTACGATGACTACAACTCTCGACACTGTGCGACGAAATGCTACTTTGTGCGAGGTATGTCTCGTGTACCGCTTTTTTTCCTATCGAAATATTGAACCATGTCGGCGATAGGCATGTGGTATGAAGCCGAAATATATTGATCCAAGTGGAACACAACACTCTTATTGTGGTCGCTCGTGTGCTCGGACTGGGGTAGGAAAGGCAGCGTCTGAATGCTTGCTCAGAGGCTGCAGCAACCCAGGGACTGCTTTCAATGGGTTTTGTTCTGTTGATCACGCCAAGTAAGCCGCAGTGAAGAAATGCTTCTTGAGACAGAGATTGAGAGTCAACAGGAAGGGGAGTGCTCTTCCTCCCCCATCAGCTTCTCCCGGCCCCAAGACGCCACTACAAACTTATAATCACAATGTTGCTGGGAATACGAAGCCTAAAACACCCTCGGATGTCGTTCACTTGTCTGAGATTCCCAGTTCTGCGACTGTGTGGCGAGAATGTACGTGATATTATGAATCACGCTTATGCTATTTGATTGACGTCTTTCCAAGTTGTGAGGGAGTGGAATAACAAGTGGCTGTCCCAGGAAGGATCAGCGTTGGTGGAAAAGCTGTATGAAATATCTTATCCGGCGAGTATATCCGATGCCCAAGATAAATATCTGTGAGTAGCTCCTCTTGCACCGAGCTCAGTGCCAGACTTAGTTATCCATAGACAGGGCTCACAAGCTACTGGGCAGACCCACGTCTTACGCACATTTCACGCATCTCAGTGTATGTGCGACATGGGGACCAAAGGTCCCACGCTTTGCAAGTGGAACTCGTGCGGCATCTGCAATGTCGTGGGCTCAGCTTTTAGACGTGTCGCCTTTGGTATTCCATACAATATAGGGAGGTGAGCAGCTATCTTTATTTCATACTTGACGCAATTTTCATCTTTATCATTCGTTATTCGTTGTTAAGACAAGGCAAGGGACTGTACTCTTCTAGAAACCCAGCCTCTGCCGATACGTTCGCTACCTCATGCTTGTCTTCGCCTTACCGCGTCACGATCGCCTGCGATGTTGTTTTGCCGCAACACCTCGAAAAGAGCACTTCGGTAAGTGACTTGTACTTGAAATTAAAGCTTTCATTGACGTTATACTTGCAGGTTGTCGCTGGCGACAGGGTAGTTGTTCGAGTGTCAGATGCGATTGTCCCCAGATTCGTCGTGATGTACACGAAGCAAACTTGAACCTCGCCCTCGTTAGTTTGGACAGTCATCATGATTTATTTATGTATTTCAATCTCTTGAGTGAGCGCAAACCAAGTTTTGCCGGAAATGTTTGGATCTCCTTGTGGGTCAGGATGATCTAACCGCGTGCAATGCCTCCCCTTGATCGAAGGAGCACAGGAGACAAACAGATGGCCTAAGAATCGCTGAGGGCGTGCCCTGTTTTGCTTTCTTTGGGTTAGATGCACTGCTCCATTCCATAACAGACAGCCTCGTGCACTGACATGCGGACAGCACGTTGTGGTGTGGTACTATCCACCCCAACGCCTGGGCTGTCTCCGCAGCCTCATGCCAATGGCCACCACCTCTATAAACCAGGACGCAATTTTGAACTGGGCAGCAGCTCAGATAACTTCGATGGCTACTGGACTTTGCGAGGTAAGTGATCGCTTGCCCTGTCTTTACTAGTACTAGTTCACCCTTGAATTTTGTGTGTAGAACTGCCATAAGACGCCGAAATTCGGTACTCATAAGTACTGTGGCAAAACGTGCGCCACTCAGGCGGCCACTGTGCACCAACCTGCGCCTCGTGCGAAACCAGGACCACATCCCAAAGCCAAAGTTCCTCCACCAGCCCAAAAACCGGGACGGCTCTGCGACGTGAGTGCAGGATCGTGATGATCTGGGCAGTCATGAAACATATTTCATTCCAGTATTGTGGGCAAAAGCCGAAGTTCAGTAATTTTGATTACTGCGGTAAATCATGCGCGTCGAAAGCCGCTACCGTTCCTCCTGCGCAACCTGCTGTGCATGGACGATCTGTTCCAAAGCAAGGCGTTCGCCTTCCTGCCACTGCTCAGCCTATCAAAACTTCTAAATCGGCAATGCATCACGCAGTGACCAAAGGTTACCCATCACCGCTCATCTGACTTCGATACTTACTCCTATTTGCAGATGGGTCCAGCGAGGATGACGACGACGAATACGCTGATGCTGATGAGGAAGTCGAAGACGATACAGGCACGGACCTAGACGACTATCCATCAGATGATGAGGAAGAACCTACTCCAGCTCCTCCGTCACGACCAGTCAAGACTGCGCATGCTTCGCTGAAACAAAGCACCTCAGCCCGTCATGTTACTGGTACCTGTCTTGTCCCCAACTGTGGCAAACCGTCTTTTGTTGATAGAGGTGGGGTGAAGACAGATTACTGCTCCACACGGCACCGAGAGTAAGTGGTCACAGGAGGTCGATTTCCAAAAGATACTAAATGTCCTTTAGAGAAGCAGTGACCCTCGGACTGGTTCCTGGATGCATTATGTGCCAACGCTACCCACAGACTGGGACAGATTACTTCTGTTCCACCGCTTGCAGAAATCAGTCCATGACGAAAGTCTAGACGGCTGTGTGAATATTCTGACTGTTCTGTACATTACGTAGGTGTAACATTTATGTTAGGCTCGTGATGGAGCTATTTGTTAATAATGCGGAATTCTGTAAGCGAACACAACGGTGAATGCCTCAGAAGAACGAGCACTAAGACGATGCCCGCTGGAGCTGGAAGGAAAGTCCTCGATATCAACATCTGTGCGTCATGTCCATGCTTTTCCCTGGATGATTCTCAAGATCAATACAAATGGTGCAACGGCCTGCATTGATTAAAATGAAATCCAGATGGCACGATGTAGTGTTATCTCTTACCTGCATTTGGTTCTGGATGGCCATGAATGGGTATTGAACAAAGCTATCCATCGCGTAGAGGACGAGATAGATGATCGAGCTAATCGCAGAAATCATACAAGATTCAGTGGTCATTGCGATAATATTGATGTACTCCCTCCCATGGTCACGAGTTCCTGAACGGAGGACGTAGGCTATATCAGCGTATATCAGAATAATGAGAGCTTGCTTGCCTATCGATTTCCTGAGCTTCGCACGGTGCATCATGATGCAAGCGGTTATCAATGACGTCGTGATAATATTAAAGCAGAGATCGACCACAACAAATATACAATAGGCTTTGGTAATTGCTTCCATTGACTTGGACACTTCTGCTATGTTCACAAACAGATCGATAGAAGTCGCTGTCAATGTATTGTCAGCAACTTTGAAGTCAACGCTTTATATCGTAGTAGATACCAATAATGACAAAGAACATGCTGCATGGGATAGGGATCAGCCATCTTGTGTTTTCCATGTTTCGGAACAGGATCACACAGCGCCCAAGCTAAGGAGAGGCGCGAGTCAACGATCTACATGAGCATAGATAACACTGATGGTCTTACCATGAGTGCATCGGCCAACCAATTGGAGATGATATAGCATGCCATTGCCACTATACTGGCCCAGTCATGCCATAAACTGATCTCGTAACTTGTTGGACCAGTGGGGGAGCCCCAATTTATAACGAACGCTATCCAAACTCTTCGAGAATTTGCAGCGGCATATACTGTTTCAAGAATAAACAGGGCGGATGTATAGCCGAAGAAAAATAGTCGTTGCCCGGGAGACTGCCGCATCGGACTCTGGACCAATGAAAAGAGGCACTGGATGTAGATGGTTAGTACAGTCCCGTAGCAAATGCCCGTGAAAAGTGTTAAGCTCAGGAGGGATATGCCATCGTGCTGGCGTTCAGACGGTGATTCGGTAGACATTACTACCAACCAACTCTCGGCTCGGATAGAGAAACTGAGATCTTTAAACATACTCCTGCCATCAATCAATCGCAGGGAGCTGGGCCACTAGTACTAAATATCAAATGGACAGAGTGCTCCAGCCGCGGAATCTCGAGTGGTGCCGCATGGTATAAGTGTTTCGTGGCAATCAGTCAATTGCATACATTTAAAATTTGAACAGCTAATCACCGCCTGGATAAAGAAGGCTCAAGGATCCTTCGAATTCTGCATATCAACCGGTCCGACTACGGGGACTACATCGCCGCATCTGATGAATAGTACCATTGGCGACCAACTTCTGTACATGCGATGTCGCACAGACCAATATTACATAATACTACATACGGTGCTATTTTTCACTTCAAAGCTCAGAGCGCTCATACCTCGTGCTCTCCTCCAACACAAGCCTGTAGATGGGCTTCTGCTCGTAACCAACACTTACTTACTCTCGCGGCGATGCCATAGCTGATGCAGCTTTCAAGCTCGCAAGTAGTACCTCGGCCGTGTTCGCCCTACCTTTCAATAACTCGCCCATGTGTGCACTGTGCACACCCTACGCCTATTCTGCGCTGACCCAACTCTGCAAGGCCGTGACAAGTAGACGCCTCATCGTGGCGCCATTTCGGATTAAGTGCTTGGAAACTCCTCAGTATTTGTCGTTTACCGGGAGCGTTGTCGCAGAATGTGTATGATGCAATTCCCGTGCTTCGTGAAGCGAAATCAACAACCCCGGATTTGTGCTGCCGAACGGATGCTCGCAATATGCTAAATGTACGATTTTGTTGCAGATATCACTAGATTTGCGACTGTGGCTTAATCGTGGGTACAGTCCCAATGTAATCTCAATCTAATTGTTATTCACCTTACAAAGTCCATCCATTCCACAAGTTGACGAGGCTCTCAATATACGTCGTGCGTATACTATAGTAGCGTGGTCAGCTAATTCAATCATTTATCGTTTACACTTCAGGCGTTTTGGAACTGCTGGTTCACTGATAAAAAGCTAGCAAATCTTTCGGTGTCAGGGATTTCCAATCTCCACACAAGCTGCTGTGAACGAATTAGGGTCTGGGAAGCATAGTAAGGCGCCCGTGTACTGGTTGGTGATATCTAAATGATTCTGATGATATTAACATGGCGGCAGAGTAAATTGGATCATTGCAACGCACTAGCCTTTTGCAGTGTTAAACGAGATGACCGATGGATTGCCAGTAACCAGAGGGTCCAGATATTATGGTGAAATCGGAGCAAGAAGTAAAAGGTCTAGGAAAGACCTTCACCATCCATTCAACATCCAGACAGAATCATTCCATGTTGGTAAATCATGAATACGTAGCATTAATCCTCATGTCAACATACGCCCCTGCGGTCACAGGCTCGTACTTCTTCGGTGTGTCTTCATCCCAACAGCCAGGGAGGCAGTCAACCAAAAGATCTCTGTCAGGAGACATAAACTAATCTAGCGTCAATATCTAACATGCATTAAATGTCTGTAGGAAGCTTACATATGGGATCGAGAAGCGCTCCTTGATCATTCCCAACTTCCCATCGTTCGGAGGCGCACACACGCGGTGCAATGTTGATTTAAGCGTATCTGATTAGGATAAAGTATATATCATTATGGCGAAGAACAGCCACTCGAAGAATCGTACCGTTTGACCACCGCATCAAGAAGTCTCCTATATTGAAAACGACCGTTCCCGGAATGGGTGACGCAGCGACAAAATTTCCTGAACCACGAGGGCTCTCAACCTCGAGTCCCCCAACATCATCTTGGAACAGAATCGTGCCCAATGCATAATCCTATCGTTCGTTGTTGGCGACACATGATAACTACTGCTCAAATAATCACATACCGTATGTGCACCAACTCTCCCTTTCTCACCGCGTGCGAACACCTCCGCAGGCGCAGCTGGATAATGCAATAATCGCAGTTGATTCTCTACTTCTTGGTGATATTTTCCCAGGAATTCGCCTCCGCCAGGGAGCTCAAGCCCTAGAGATAATGCAGGTAACAACTTCTCGATCTCAAAGCGATGGCATGTATCAAAGAAAGTAGATGCCGCGTCTCTGAAACCCGGAAGGACTTGCTCTGGGAGCCACACATTGGAGATAAGTGGGCAATTATTGCGCCCAATGTCAAATGATTCTTTGAAATCAGGAGTTTGTTTCCGTATCGCGGCAAGCTGCGTTGGGTCGAACACCTACGCGAGTCAGGATATTGGCAATTCGAATGATACTGATACGTACCATTTGTGAAGCTTGCTCCCTGCCGACCTGGACTGAGACATTCGTTAAGACATGTTATGATGGTCTTCGTAACTCAGCAACATACCCCGCTATATCCCCGGTTTTTCCATCCCTCCTTAGGATGCGGAGCCAGTAGCTTTGTTTCAATTGGAAGCGAGAATAACCTCCTGCTCTTCATGCACACTCATTCGTTGGGGTGAATTTCGCACATGCGATGATATGTACACACCCATTCAAACATGCAATCCACCTCTGCCTGAGGGATACCAGTGTTGCGGAAGTATGCAAATCCGACTTCTTGACAAGCTTTCACTAATTGCTTTCCTATCTCTGTCGCTTCCTGCATGTCAAAAAAGGAGCTTCAATGATTATCGTCGCATGTGCATTGTGAGCACCCTACGTACTGGAGAAGTACCATCCCCGAAGTATGCAAAGTCGATAATTGGGATTGCAGTCGGTTGGAGTGAGACGGTACCTGGCATTGTGTAACGACGCACCTGAACAAGTAACTACTAGCTACTTATAAGTTATTGGCTTTATGCTAGACTGGTGCTCATAGAGGGGCTGGTCACCAGTCTATCTATATGCATCTCGTCATAGAAACATTGGCCGATTTCACAGTCCGCTCAGCATTTTGAGGCAAGAAACAAAAAGTCCCCCGAGTAGTCCGGCCGACCTTCCTTGCAAGGTTTCTTGCCCCGCACCCATACTGAGGTGAAGTTACCATTTATCCAACGAAGGTTAGCTTTAGACTAGTGAGTGATGGGCCCGGGGTAGACACAATCGCCATCGTGCATGTGTCAAATAGTTTACACCGTGTATACTAGATGGCAGTAAGATACGCGAGAAAATTAATACCGGCAATATTTAAACAGCCAGCTCAGCTTTGGTAAATGAATTCAGGCTTCCTATTCGTTATTCATCTCCGCCCTCACCCTCATCTTCCTGCGGACCCCCAGTATCATCTTCCTCGTCCTCTTCATCCGAACCGTGATCCACAGGAAGCGTCATCAAATCATTCAAACTACAGGAAGTGATATCAGTCCATGTACTCCGAAAGTTAGACTCAAAATGAAGGACTTGGTGCGAATGGCGCCTCTGATTCGGAATCGGTCCGAGAGATCGAGTAACAACACTCACCAATGGACAAATGGCGTCATCACACCTGCAACACCACGTAGTGTATCCATAAACTCGGATCCAGGTGTAACGACTTGGGCATCCGTGAACCGACAAGAAACTGCGAGGGAGCGACATTTGAGGAGGGCAATATCTCTAGAAACACATAGTATAGTGTATCGATTAGCCCTCATGACTCGAATGATACTCTACCACATACTTGTGGTTCTTATCCACGCCCTTTGGCGCCACCTTTAATTCATCTTCATGCCCAAACACGCTTTGACGATCTCCATGCGGGTGTGGGCGGGGAGGGCCGAAATGGGTAGTAAATGCTTTGGAGGACAGGATCGTGTGCAGACTTTTAGCAGCGGGTGTGGAGTGAAGCAGATGATTTCTGTTAGGTGAAGAAAGACATGAAAAGAACCATGGAAACAAAACGGAGACGAGATGCACCTGAGAGTCGCGAGTTCGTTCTTAGCAGGACACCATGCACCTGCAGCGATGACGCTCTCGTCACCCGGCTTGACTAATCATTATTCATGTCAGCGTACACCAAACCAGTATTATCAGCTATGACTGACTCATTCTGTGAGCAAACAACGCGCACATATCCAGTCAGCTTATCCGACTTTGATGCTAAGAGGTGCGTACACATGGTCTATGAACAGTTAGATATCTGCAGCGAAAGTAAAATGATACGAAACTTACAAAACGCAAAAATCCCCTTCCTGCCACTCCTCGAAAAACTCGCAGATAGTCCCTTCTTGTACGGTGTTTTGTCGTTGCTGAAGCGGACCTACGCACACGACATCAGGTCCGCAAGTCCACAGAAGGAAACATGTGAGGGGACAAACATCTCTATATATGCGGTGGATGACGTCTTTGGGGGGCAATGGTGGGATCTGGGAGTCGACATCTGTGAGCATATTAGTGAACGCCTCGATGAAGTCCTTGAATTCCTTTTCTATGCGACGGTAAACTGGTTCTGTTGCCAAATAAGATCAGAGCTTCAGCCTAATGCATAATCCCCACATACCGTGTAGCTTAAACCTAGAAGCGCGTGAAGATTCTCAGCCAACGATAAATGAATGACGGCTGTGATGAAAGTACGAACCATTCGCGGTCATTACACGCAGGGTCCTTGAGTTGCGCTAGAAAATCAAGCGTGTTCTGTGAAACCTGACCAGGAGGCACTTTAAAACTGGTAAGTTGATCATCCCTGAAGCGAGAAATGACCAACTTACCCCAGCCTGTCTTTGGAGCTTGCACAACGCGACCCACAACTTGCTGCCCCTCCTTCAGATCTACGTCGCTGGCATCTACATCCTCTTCATCCTTAACATCATCTTCCTTGGCTTTACGTGCCCTACGCTTGGGCTTGGGTTTCGAAGGTGAGCCGGACTTGGAATTGGAAGAACGCGTGCGTTTCTTGGGCGGAAGGTCATCGAGCGCGTCGCTGTGAAGAGATTCGGGTTCTGAATCTTCATTGGATAACTGAGCACGCTTGCGAGGGACAACCTTGCGTGTACCTGCCATCGTTGTTTGCTCAAGTAGGATGGAAGACCCTGGCCAGGTCATGTGCAATTGCAAGAGATTCTAGACTGAAACAATAGAATCGCGGGCTTTAAATTTGAACTTTAACTTCCACAAACTGAGCGAAACGCTGTCGACAAGCTTGTACTGCATCTATTTTATAGCAACCACGATTTTCCCTTGCAGCCAACCTAGAGCAGTAAAATGAACCCATGCGGGTGTGGGATCCGTCCGCCAATTGGCAATCTTCGGAACAACCAACCATCCTGACTGGATCAAGGCTCCTGCGGCTGTGGACGCTTCTGCCAGGGACACTTGTGGCCTCCGTATCTGTTTCCAAGCATGTCTACCGCCCATCAAGCACTTCTACTGAGTGTACCCACGATACCGCACCATAAAGGGCTTTGTTATGACACACAACACGACTGAGACCACGCGTTTCACTTTCATGGGTGAGGTACACCGACCAACCATAATTAAAGATCTCGGTGAATCAAATATTCGAATTCAACAAGATCTCACAAATTCAGGCAAGCTGGATCGCATTTCAGCCGATTCCAGAACGAGGATTTCCCTAATGAAGTTGTCGAGCACGTCGCTGTGAAGAGATTCGGGCTCTCAGTCTTCATTTGAAAACTGAATGACCTGCAGCGACAGTCGATCACGGCATCAGGAGAGCTCGGATGCACATGCCAAGGCGCTTATGATAACAGCCTCATTTACGAGGCATGTAACGAGACACGAGGTTCAGGAAGATCGATATTGTAATGAATCAGGATTAGGAAAAACCCTTACTAGCAGTTGATGCTGCTTAGTGTTAGACATCCACGATCCCTCCAGAGCCTTCTACCAAGCCCACGCCTTGCTCAACACCGCCAACCTCCAGTAAAATGTCACAACTCATCCCAAGTACCACACCCGTTCAAGGATTTGAAGGTCACAATGGATCTGTATCCAGTGTTGCAGTTCTGCCCGATAGACGAAGGATGGTGACGGGCTCGCAAGACAAGATTCTTCGTTTGTGGGACATAAAGGAAGGTGTTATGTTGAAGAAAATGGAGCGACATGCCGGCTTTGTGTGGGCATTGGTGGTATCACGAGATGGGCAATTGATAGCAAGTGGTGGCGAGAATGGAGAGCTAGTCGCCTGGGACGGAAACACTGGCGAACCTCTCACACAAGTCATCAAAGTCCATACTAGTTGGATCCTATCGCTGGACTTTTCCCCAGATGACAAAATGCTGGCCACCTGTTCGTACGACCAGACGGCGAGGCTATGGAATACAAAAACGTGGCAGGAGCAAGGAAATTCGATCCAATGTGGGGATTTGGTCCGCTGCGTTCGGTATTCGCCGTCTGGTGAACATCTTGCCATCGTGACAAACAGTAATAATATCCAAATATGGAAACCAGCCACAAGGGAATGCGTCGCGAAGTTTCAGGCAGCGCCAACGGAGGCAACTGCTCACTCGCATGGACACCTGATGGTACACGCATTCTCTCATCGGGCCAAGGTGGGGGTTGTACCATACGGGAGTGGGATTCATTGACCTGGCAGGGGGTCGGTGATCCCTGGGAGGGCCATTCCCGCAATATCAGAGCCATTGCCTTGAACTCTAATGGCACACTCGTTGCCTCTGCATCTGAGGATAACCATGTTCGCCTCTGGCGGCTCTCTGATAGACAAACCATCGCCATATTCCAACACTCTGCTCAGGTGCACTGCGTCACCTTCTCCACAGATGGCAGGCACATTCTCAGTGGAGGTGCGGATAACAAGATATCAAAGTGGCAGGTACCCGAGGATGCTTTGCCGCAGGATGGTCCCGAGGAACAAGTGACACAACAGGTGAGCTGGTTTTCGTTTTCTGTCTCTTTATCGTCTAATTTCGTGTCTGTTTGATTTCAAGGCATGTATCCACATTTGGCTTTCTGACCAGTAATAGCGCGTTAACGCGAACGTGCTTCATGCAGATCCTCGATATAAATGTGGCAGTCCGTAACGCATGCATAACTGGGGAGCTGCATACTGCCGAAGAGCTGCTAACCAAAGAGATTGACGCTGATGCCGACAACTACAACTCTTATGCCAATCGCTCAATCATCATGGCGCGACAACTCGATTGGGATCATGCGCTCAATGATGCAATCAAGGTAACATACGCTGACCCATCATGCCTCTTAATGCAGGCTAATTTGGATCGTGTAATAGTCCGTCAGCATTGAGCCCTCCTTCATAGGCCATGTCTCAAAGGGCTTTGCCCTCTGTGGGAAACAACAGGTCTGGGACGCGACGAAAGCATTCGACCTCGCGTTCACGTTCACCAATGCCGATTTAAAGACGATTCATTTCCTCTTCTTGATCAGGGTACGTGTTTTTTAAAAATCGTCACCATGCTTCAATGTTACCGGTTTTCCAGGCCATCGCGTTGTTCAATGCAAATAAAGATGAAGAGGCATTGCTTCCTGTCCAAGAGCTAGCTGCTCGTCCCAATGCCGATCCTCTCGCTTGTCGTGTTGTAGAAGTGAGTATCATGCATTCAATCAAGTCCAGATTCGTGTGCTCACTGCATTTTCTGTGCTTCGCAAATCAGGCATATATGCGAGTTCAACTAGGAAAAATTGCCATGGATGGCGCCCTTTACAGAGAAGCTGCTGACCATTTCACTGCCGCCGTCAATGCTAGCGCTTCCTTTGCTAAGTTGGACATTCACTCTATGTACCAGGACTTTGTTGTGGTACGTTAATATGACGCAACCGACAATCCTTTTTATGCTCAACTTGCGTGCTTGTGCAGCTTTTCGGCTGGGACCTCAAATCTTTGTGGCAGACCGTAAACAAGCAACGTTGCCATGCGCTTCTCCTGGACGATCAAGCTGGAACAGCTTTCGAAGCATACCGATACATGATGGACATGAGTGATGAACCCACGAAGGCCATCTTCCTCGATTGGATCCCTGGCAAGTCATCAGAAACATTACCTGTGCTACGATGCTCACTCGAATTTCCTTCAGCTCTCAATGGGAGGCGAAGCACACTCAACGCCGCTCATGAAGATGCTGCCCTTGCAGCGAGCGGCTACCTGTGTGTTTTGAAACAGGAAGGAGTTTAAGCAGTTTTCGTTCGTACATTGACATTACTTGTATACACAAATCACCCTTTGTGCTCGCATAGTATGCTGATCCACAGTAAAGACCATCTATAATGCTTGCGCACCTATCCCTCCCCACCATCGACTATGAATGACATTTGTGCCATATGTCAATGATGAAGCGCTACTGCATTCCCGTTCCTTCTATCATACCTCAAATTGAACCGTTCTTACGCCGATCGATCCCTCCGCCAGACGTGTCTATGCCGCCACTTCGGTGAATGGTTGTCCGGTGCTTTCGTCCACTGTCCAATTTTCTCGCACACGGACAACCATACACAGCACTGTCAAAAGGACGAAGTCGGCACGACACGCTATGGTTATGGGCCTCAGACGAGGCTTAGTGATTCATTAGACTCCGTCAAATTATTAGGATAATGCTGCTAGATGCAACCCTGTGTGATCATGTGCGATAAAAATTGAAACTCACTCACTTGCTATGGTCCACCTTAGGCGCATTGTCATCGCAGTAGTAGGCTCCGACTGCGTATCACCGCATGTAAGCTGCAAAAGCGACCAATCGAACCAACAAGGACAGTTATACCTTTGATATTCGTCTTGTCGTGAATACAATAATGACGATAATCCCCGACTCCACTTTAGTGGAAGAGGGTTCTGTGGCAAGCAAATGGATATTTCTCTGCAAACGGACCCGTGGGTGTGGGAAACGTGCGCTGGCTTAGTCAGTAGATGTAAGAAAGTATTGCGCTAGCCTTTTTCTTTCTCAATTAAACGCTTGCCATGCAGATACACTGAAGCACGAACGGAGGCACATGTGACTCGTATAATTCCCTCTCAATTTGTTCGTTTCATTGCAGTGTAGCTCATGTGATTTCAGGGTTTTTCTTACAAAGTTGCCCCGTCGTTTGGCTCGCGTCCTCGATGAAGGACAATGTCCTCCTTGCAATGAGCCCCATGATGTGAAGCCCTATCCTTGTTATCATGATGCCCTCTATTATTCACGATTTAATCTTGCGTTTTTTGGAATATCCGAAAGTTTTCGCACATGGTTGAAGTCTTCGCTTAAATCTCATCCTTTGTGTTGCTCGAAGTGCCGCTGGTCAAATTTCCATGGTTGTGTTTCCTACGACGATGTTTGTATCACTATATGCCACCAACAAAAGTCATTGGCCATGACACCAAGTGAATTTGCAGATGTGAGTCACCATCATTGTGTTGTCTTTCACAAGCTTTCCTCTTGTGAAGCTCTCTGTTGAGAAGTGTCTGCCAGTGCCTTCAAGACTAGACGTCTACCCGATATAGTTATACTACAGTGAGCAACATTTATCGGTCCTCCTAGACGGTGTCTTGGTTGAGTGTGTTTCTCGTCTCTCTGTTCCGTGAGGGAAAACGAAAAACGATCGTGTGCGCGCAGTGCTGTATCATTTCGTTGCTAGCCGACTACGAGTGATGCATTCGAGTAAGGATCAACTACAAACATTACTTTCCTGCACTCCAATCACTGCAGAAGGTAGCCAACTCCTTGTTCCTCGTTTGACGAGGTACTTCGGTGATATGTATGGAAAAAAGGTTTGTGAAGCTCTGTGTCGACCGCTGCCGCCATAGGTTTGTGTCATTTAGTTCAGAGGCTTCATAAGCTGACTATCAAAGCGCTTTCAGATTGTATACATAGCCTATCTTCGAAGGGGCGTCCATCAATACATCGCCAAGTACACACAGCCCCTTTTTGTGGACTCGCTCAAGGATTGGAAGGGAAAAAGAAAGGCCATGGATAAGGCAACTGGTCAGTTGCCCACTAAAAAATATTCTTTTACCGCTGTGCTTGATAAGGATGAACTCAAATATACTATGGTCGAGTAGGTTCAAGTGATTCTTTTTCTTGGTGGCTTCTTTGTCTTGGTCCGAAACCGTATAAATGACCTACAATATTGTCTGTTTTCTTGCGGAGTCGGGGATTGGCGCTTGCGCCGCTATACATAAGTACAAGTTCAAGGCACGCCGCA